GTCTGGAAGAAGCGATGAAGTAAAAAAAATCATTGCTGAGAAAGTGTATCTTAATATCGTTTGTGTTCTTCCAGGCACTACTGAAGAAAATGACCTCTTCCAGCCGTGGTTTTCCATGGAGATTTGCTAGTCTCCTTTTATTGTTTTTGATCGGTGCTATCGTAGCATACGACACACAGAAACATGGCTCGTTTGAAGGTAAGTACTTTCTGGAAACAGCAATAAGTATTAATCATCTGTTTGCTTCTCATATCTCATCTCATATATTTTTATCATTCTAATTATTTTGTTTTCTTAAATTCTTTCAAATTTATGTATCGTATTTTAACCTTTAGTCATTTGGCTTCTATGCATTTTTTTTTTAATATTGGAGCAAATAATTAATTATTACATTTGTATACAATTTATTTAATGCACAATTTTACAAATAGCTTCTAAAGATGTTAAAGTGTATAAGAATCACTTGATTTTATACACTTATAAAATGACTATTTAAAAAAAAAATAACTGTTATGAGATTCTTTAATGTGATTGATTTATATATTTATTAATTATCGAAAGAACAATAATAATCCATCCCTTGAGTTGAATATTTTATTATTTTTCACTTCCATGTGTATCAAAATGTAAATTAATCCCTTACTGTGATTGAATTGCTTAGTTTCAAAATAGACAACTGTAGTTCATATTAATGTATGCACTCAATAAATAATAAACTAAATTTGAATCAAAATTAATTTATTTTCTTGAGTCAAATTATTAAACTATATTGTTTTGATTAAAATAACGACATATTAAAAGCAGTAGCAATGATTAAAAATAAATCAGATATAATTTGACTAAATTTAACAGCGTGAGAAGCTAAGGACAAGACTAATTATATTAAAAAATTTTACAACAGTTGCATAGTTGCTGTTGATTATAGCCAGAAATAAAAATTAACCCAAAACATGAATCTATTATGTATACTAAGAGTTAATTATTATCCATATTTCATCATAATGCAATGAATTCAATCATTTGTTACTACACTGGATTAGTATACATTAAAGGTGCTGTATTATAAAATATCTAAATGCAGTGGCATAATATAATTAATTTTGAAAATGAAATACATGTATGTTCTGTTAAATAAAGTAATATCATTATTAATCATTTAAAATATTTCTATGCTTCTACATTTAACTTTGTTAATTTCATATAGCTTTATTATCAATTTTAATTAGCATCTTTTTAGTATACACATTCTAGTGTAGGGCAAGTGGCCAAATTTGCTATAAGATTGTTGTTCAGGGAGTTATTATCTTATCATCGTACCTTGTGTTCAATGGCATAACTCGTGAACTAGTAATGGTTCACCAACAATATATTCATTACTGTCATAAACATCACGCCCATTAATATCTTCGCCTGTCTAATTTTTCTCCTAATCAAATTGGTGATATAAATTGAGTTTTTTTTACTTTATGGTACATTCGCATTTTATATATTGTAGCATCCCAAGTTGGAAAGTTCTTGAAAACTAGCGGAATATTGAAACATGTAGAAAAGGCATGGACTACTCTAAAGTTCTATTGGTCTGCAGGACATAAAGCAGTTAAGGATAGCTCGGAATATTATAAAGCCGTTGTAGACTTGTGTGCACCGTACATTAAATTAGCTGGCGATGTCTGTCTTGTAGTAAGAAATGTTTCAATTAAATTATATAACAATGTCGCGGCATATGTTGAAAGGAACGTACCTATAATTATTGACACAGTAAGTATAATGAAGATCTGAAAAATATTTTCATACAGAGAACAATCCTTCGCATAAAATACATCTCTTAACAATTTTTATTTCTTTTATACAGATCGAACATTACGCTCCGGGGATCTTCGAGCAAATTAAATCCCGAAGTCTTCAGGGACTGGAGTTTGTGAAAGTTTCCTTCATTCTGATTGGAGAGAAAGTTATTGAACATTCCAGCGCGTCGATACAGTGGCTGGAGAAGAACGTTTTTGTGTAAGTGTGCTCATACATTATGCAGAGGCTGTAATCGGGTATCTGACCGTGACCTTCCTTCCCTTTTTTTTTTTCAGAGGCAAGCTTAGCCCAGATAATCTCCGCAATTACGCCATTTGGGCTTTCGACACGACGCAATCGTACGCCACTCAAACGTACGATTGGGTGTACGAGAAAGTGCAGACTCTCTCCAAAGTGCCATGAATAAAATCCAATGGTTTACTGTATGAATAATTATTGCGTTGACGGCGAAATTTCCGCCTCTTCACGCGACTCTCCGCATTTATTATTTATGACATGGAAACGTTACATATATATTTTCCGAAGATCACGAATGCGTCAGCCATTTTACCTGTGATATCTCGAATAGAAAATCTATATCTTGCTTTGGTTGGTCTTGACGAAGAAAATTTCGCGATCTTCTAAATAAACCGGAACAATTGCGGGCGTTTTTTATTAAGACAAATATTTTTCTGTCATTTTCTTTAAAATTATTATTATAACTAATAATATATATGTATATCCGAACATTAGATCTTTGTACGCAAATCGTTCGAAAGTGCGATCTTTAGTATTTTGTATTTTCATTTATAATTTTGAGGATTTTGATTGAAAATTTACATTCGATTACATTGAACGATCGAATAAAAATTTTTTCGTAACAGTTCTTCTTGTAGATGTAGTAAAGGAAGGACTCTACTACAAATAAAAAAAAATTTAAGAAAAAAATCATGTCGGAAAAATGGGTCAGAATAATAACAACAACAACGGTGATATTTTTAGGAATAGCAGAATAGTATATATATATTAATAAATATCGTAATATAATATAATAATAATAATGAAATGATGGTAATAATAGCGATGAAATGCAATAGATGAATATGAGATATGATAATATAATTTTAACAAGAATATATTAAAGTTTTACATGGGAAGAGAGATCTGTGTGTGGATAGTGACAGTCACTTCCATAAAGCCACGTATGTAAAAATGAGTTGTCTTATTTCCCCCCTTCAATAAAGTTTCAGCAGCGTGCCTTTTCTTTTAAATTTCTTCACTCTGTTTTGCGTGCACGTTCACAGCTTTTATCCCTGATTACTTCCATGAAAATGCGTATTCCGTCAACGCACTTTAAGTTTGCTTGTATTTTTGTAGCATCGAATACTCGCATACTATAATTCATACGGGAAGAAGAGCTTCATTGTATTCTTGTAGATTTGATTGCACAGGTATTCCTCTTCTTCATCTCTGATCCGCGCTAGAACTTCCAATATTTGACTGCAATTAATTAAGATCATATCATACGCACCGTTTAATCCTCTATTTGACCCATGCAATTATATCCCTTCAGAGTTGACAGTAAATTCATTAAATCCACTCAAAATCTATTAAAAATGTCAATTCAATTTTCTTTATATTACATCTGCAAGTTTCGATTATTTCTATTAAAATATACTTAATTTTCATTTTTTATCACTTTGTTCCTTGAAAGTGCCTTTTTAACATGAGGCCTGTTCTTTTTAACTGAACTTCTTGCACGTTCATCTTTTCTCTTTTTCTCTCCAACGTGGAAAAAAAAGGAAGAAAGATGAAGAACTGTGAAATGTGTAAGAACTTTAGCTAAAAAAAGAACAGACTTATAAATTAAATGGATTTTACAGACCCAGTGTGAGTGTATTAAAAATTTTGGTGTCAGCTCCGGAGGATTAAAAATATTGCAAAAAAATTTAATGTTTAATTTTAAACAAATATCGTATATAATTCTCATTTTACGATCTGCAGAAAGAAAAGTATACTAACACTATCGTACAAGGTTCGTTCCGTCCTTTAACCATCTGATCCGCTTGCCACTTTTCTTTCTTCACAGATGGAAAGTGCGTGATAACGTCGTTCGCGGATGCATGCGTCGGCCTGATCTCGCACCATGGACAATCAGTCTCTATCATGAGCCTGTCCGAGGGAATGGTAGTGATCGCGAAAAGATTTTCCTCTGTCTTCAACGAGCTGAAACGCGAAACAAAATGAGATTATTGGATTGTCCTCCTTTTCTCTTTTAACTTTTGCGAGAATCTCACATATTCATAATGAATTCGGTCACTTCCATTACACTAAATTAATGCATGGAACTAAAAGCTGCTATACGAAATTAACAAAGTTAAATGTAAAAACATAAATATTTTTAATGCCCGTTTCAATGTAAATTAACTTTAATCTCTCGGTTCAATTTACTCTCCATCTTTGTCTAATTTTTAGAACTGAAAAAAGATGAATAGTAAGTTGAAGCGAGACTAAAAAAATTAATTGATGAAAATAGATATGAATGTCTATAACAATGATATTATCACGTTATTTAACAAAATACATGTATTATTTCATTTAATTATGCCACTGCGTTTGGATATTTTATATAAAGCAGCATATAATGTGTGCTAATCAGTGTAATGACCGAACATCATCAATCTTACCATCCATTAACGCCGATGTACAAGCCTAATTGTAGTATGGAATTTGCATCCTCCGGGTTACCGTCGAAGGAGTGCACAACACCCGGCGTCAATTCGTTTTTATGTTTTCTTAGAATTCGCACAAAATCGTCACTAGCGTTGCGGCAGTGCAGAAACATTGGTAGCTTTAACGTAGAGCACAATGACAATTGTAGCTCAAAGTACTTCTTTTGAGTCTCCTTGGGGCAAAAATTCAGCCTATCATAGTCCAAGCCCATCTCACCGATAGCGACGACTTTGTCCTTGTTATTCAGCGCCAGATCCGATAATGATTTGAGGTATTCTTCTGGATTGCCACTCTCCTCGAATTCATTGCAACGGGTCGGATGACAACCAATCGTCGAATACAGTCTGTCTGCAATTTGTTGATTGATGACGATCAGTCATTTGTTCTCAAAAATAAACTTAACTCGTGATTCAAACATATGGGTTCTATGACATTTTTCTAATTTTTAAATAGTGTTATAAGTATACATTTACTATATATCAAGTTCAATTATTGCATTTTTTTTATATAATTGAAAAATTTTAATTTCGAAAATTAACAAGAATTCATGTTTCTTTAGCATCACAAAAAAAAGTATGTATATTCCTATATGGGATTAATCATAAATTATCGTTTGCAGTACACAGAATAGCATATTAAAAGCTGTTTTATATAAAACATCTAAATACAGTGACATAATATAATCAACTTTGTTAGTTAACTATGTTAACTTAATTTCATGTATAATAGTTTTTAATATGCATTAATTTAGTGTGTAAGTGAAAAATTAAAATTAAAAGCAAGAGATCTACAATTAAAATATATTAATTTGAGGACACGGAAAGATTTATTAATACAACTTCTCACGTATTTAAGGATACACTTGCCATCGGTTCTTGCTATTTCAAGAGCTTTCTTGCTTTCTTCTACATTGCCAGCTGTAATGATGATTTTCGAGAGATTATTCTTCCAACTTCGCTCTAGAACTTTATCCAAATCTGGCTGATGCTTCTGAGATCCATGATAGACTCCTTGGTACATGGAATCTGTTAAATTGGCTCCGATATCTATGACAATTGAAGTACAATGGAAAACGCTGGACTTTCTTAATATGAAATTGCTCAAGGCAAATATACAAGATGTTCTGAATATATGTTTTTTATATATTCAAGAGATATACTTGACATAATGTAGTACAATGAATCATTAAATCCTTGTTATCTGCCAATTAAATGTTAATATCAAGGATGACATAGTTGACTGTGTTACTCTAGCGAATTCAGTCACTTGCATGCACTATGCTAGATCAGTGCATACTAAAAGCGGCTTTACATGAAATTAGCAAAATTAAATGTAAAAGTATATAAATATTTTAAAGGATTAACTATCTACTAATAATATTGTCACATTAATTAACAACATATATATATGTATCATTTAATTGTCAGTTGATTATATTGTATCACTGCATAAATATTAAGATATTTTATATAAAACAATTTTTAATATGCAATGATCCAGTATAGTGTGAGTGATTGAATTCATCATAGGTCATCTTGAAAATGCTTTATGTTAAATGTTTACAGACTTTACTTTATATACCAACAAAGTATTATTATTGATACACTTAGAATTGCATATGATGCTGAAATATATCTAATGTGTCTCTCAAGGCATTTGAGAACTCCACGAAGGAATCCGGAAGCGTCTCCTGGAAAGGACAATCGGGAGGGTATAAAAATCTGAATCAAGACGAAGGGAAGGGATTTTGTTGAGTTAAAGAGATTAGTCCCGCCTCTTACTATAACCTTTATATCGCGAAACAAACGGCGGAAACGATATGGTGCTGAGCAAGAACGAAGGATAGTCGGGTTTACCTATAAATTTCCGTAAATTGGACATTCTAGCTGCAAGCATGGAACGTTCCCAGGCGGAGATTGTTCGTCCGGATGTCCGGTCGAGGGTAGACGGAGAGGTTAGCTGAGGTTAGCAGGTGTCCACCGTTTCAACCGGCTGAATCGACACATGGATGGAGTCCAATGAAGGACTGACGTTACGCTTTCATGCGCAGTAGTGATCGTCCCGACGCTATCCTTGCTTCCGCGCGTCATCGATCAGCCTGTATAGCAACTGATAGCAACTACCGACCTAACTACTGAATCCTGATCTTTGATATGTTTAAAAATAAAAATACAGACACGCGTACGCAATTAAAAAAATTAGAGGGGGGTTTTGAAGTCCAATTGAAAATACTATAGCTGCATGAAATTTTCACCTCTGCAGTATTCTCTTTTCCGTAATGTAATATTATAATTATATGATTATAATAATATATAGTTATATATATTTGTAATTCTGAGCTCCCTTGGTTCGATGTATATTCATTTTTGTATTGTCTTTCTTTTTCTATCTCCAATAAGAAAAGGAAGACACCAAGTAAATATTGACACATGTCAAGCTTCTTAATGTGTGTGTGTGTGTGTGTGTGTGTGTGTTCAAATCTTAAACAGCTTAATATTGTCACCTTAGTGAAAATTTTTTTCGAATTTTTATATGAATTTGAACGTTTTCAGAAATACTGACAAAAGTTAATTTTTTTTTAGAATTTTTTATTACATATGAATTTGGAATATTCTTTATTTTTTTAGAATTTTTTTATGTAAAAAAATTTCAGAAGTTTCAAAACATTTTTGAATTATTTTTCAACTTTTCAGAAATTTTTCAAATTTTTTATACAAATTGAAATACTTCTCAAGAATGCGGAAAAAATCTACATCTTTTCTTCTCTACATTATATAAATTCTGAAATTTATTCTATAACTTCTGAAAAATTACTTTTTCAAATTTTATAAAATTATTTTATAAATTATAAAAATGAGAAATCTTAGAATACTTCGGAGAATTCATACATGAAGAATTTTGGAAGATATAGACACTTCTGAAAAATGTTACAATTTGTATTGTAAAAAAGTCTAAGAAAATTTCTAATGGTTAGAAAATCATGTTTAGAAATTTAAAAAAATCCAAAATTTACATTAAAATTCTGAACAATTACATAAAAAATTCAGAGAACAATTTTCAACAGTTACTTATATACATATAAACTGTAATTCCATTAGATATGTTGCAGGCTACCAGAAATGTTTTCAAGTTTTTGAAAATCCAAACAATTGCTGGATTCCATTTGAGCCTTATTATCTTTCTTATTAATGAGAAATATTGTTACACACACAGATATATAATGATAGGTGTTGCCTACTTTTTACAAGTTTTTTTTATTAGATACGCTTTTTGATGATATAACAGACAAGATACAACGAAACATTTCGTTTTTATGTTTCTATATATATATATATATATATGTATTTGTTATAAATCTTAATCTACGTAAATAAGAGTTTCCTCTTGACTCGATGCGCTTGTGAATGTATGGAATTCTTTCTCAATCATACTCGCGAATGGAATATTAACAGATGCGAGGCATTACTGTATTGCAAATGCACCATCGTTGCTCTCGAAGTTCTAGAGTTCGTTCGCGAAACACGATTACCGGAGCGATTTGATGATCGTGTTAATCTTCTCAATGCAGTCCTCCTTTTTCCTGGAGATCGTCGTCTCCATGTCGATAAATTGCTGCCGACTGATCTTGCCCGGGATCAGTTTCTCCAAGTACAATGCCTGCAGTTGGCCGTAAATCTCCTTCAGATAACGATCGCATTTTTGTAACTCCTGGATGCGATCATACACGTCGGTAGACTCTCCCTTTATCTTCTGCGCGATCTCGTTAAGTGCGTTGTTTGCCGCCTTGTATTCCTGATTGATACCCTTTATTGCAGACTGGAAACTGTTGGTGTCCTTAGACACCTTCAGATATGACAGCTGCTCCTCCAGATTATAGTAAGTCGCGATCCTACGGTCCTGAGCAGCGAGAACTTTCTCACACTGACCGGCGATCCTCAGCTTGCTCTCCGACACTTCGTCCTTATCGATGGAGAAGTCACATCTCACGTATACTATGACCGCCAGGAACATCAACCACAGCGCCAGCACTATCATCAGCGGTTCCTGCAGCATCAACAGACGCGGGAACGTATACTTGAGCCTGAAACTCTGAATATGATTCTCCACCAGATTATTTTTAGTCACAGATATCACCGGACGCCCAGTGACATCCAGATATGTATAATGCAGGGAATCTGGCAGGCGGGTCACGGGATAAGGCAGCTCCAACTTTATGTTCCTTGCACCCTCCGGCAGAATGATCTTCAGAACCATCTCGTCCACTACCATGTCGTCGAAGATGTGATCCAATAGTCTCATCTCCAAGGCGAACTCGTCCCCGGAATGAAAGAGGTACTCGTAGCTGGGTACATTGTAGCCAATTGTGTAACGAGTCTTCCAGCCACCGAACAATGGGAATCTCGGCCGTAGATTCAGCTCCACTGAATCCTTCTTGATGCGGGTGTGCGACGTGGAGATGTTACCGATCTCGTCTCTGTAATAAATGTCAGAAGCAGCTGCCGGCAGGATAGTATCGAAACTTTGGATACTCGCTTGTCCAGATTTGGATTCCCGGGCGTACTCGTAACGTGAGAAGGAGCCTTTTAGCAACGCTCCGGTATGTAACAGATCAATATGCTCCTCGACAGCTATGTTACCCCAGTGAGAGATCTCGAGGACCCTCTCGAGCCTCGTTACCGTAAGGAATTTATTATTGTTCTCGAAGTGTACAGTCATCTCCTCATAGGAGAATGGCGGTTGAGACTCATATGGACCATAAGCCAACATCGAGCCAGTTTGGGAGACAGGCTTGATCTTGGTGTAGCTCTCGAGATTGCGAGTGGGCAGTGCCACGTAGGTGGTCTGCTTGGTAACAGGATAGGGCAAGCAGGCGTACACATTGCCCGTGTACCTGACAAGTTGCTTCTCCTGTTGGGTGATCTGCTTGGGATGTGGCACCAGCTCGTGCGTGAATACCGTCTCCAGTTCAATGGTGAGAGAGCGCCGAGCCGTCAGATGGTTACCGAGATCAACGGAGTAGAAGACTCGATCGCTATACGCTGGCACCTTGATCTCCTTCACCTTCAACTCCAATTTATCGGGCTCCACACGTGCCGCTATGTAACTGATGAATCTGCTCTGAGCGTCGTCGAGGCAGAAGAGGAAATTCCGGACGCGGTCTTCCTTGGTTTGCTTGTTTTCCATCACCACTCGAGTGGTGATTTTAGTTAGCTGGGACTGCAGGTCGATGTGTCGCTCGACGCTCCTGATGGTCAAGTTCGGATCCACGACCCCGTCCAGGTTGGCCGCGGTGCAACCACTGTATACTCCCAGATAGAACGCGAGAGCGCAGATTAGCGCACCCGCGTGAACGCGAGACATTGTCGATGAGACTCCGAATCGTTAGGAATTTCTATAATTCTGTCTCCTGATGGAACGAACTAACGAAACGGCACGATAAACGTCCTTCTCCTTGTACGTTGCGCACTCGCCGGTACGCGGCGACACGGTTAGCACATAACAAAATACGTGGCGTTCGTCTATGGCGCCGGCTAGTTGCGCGCATGTCAATATATAACGATGCGGCCGGCAACGCATCATTGCGAGAACATACGTTCACGTTTACAACACAAATAGAACGTCCGGTTTGAATTCAATCATTTGATTGATCTATATTTTAGGATCTAATGGAATATGCCAATTAGATGCAAGAGCTCACTGAGCGCTCCAGTGAGTGATGTAGTACTGAATGAATGCATCCAGAAGCACAACCGCTCACTAAGCTCATTGAGCTCTTGCATCTGATTGGCATATTCTGTTGGAACTAAAAATATAAACCAAACAGATACAAAAGTTCACCGAGTGCTCACTAGGTCGTACTTCAGGGGCTCGACTGTGTATTTTGAAATAAGGTAAAAATTAGCATCGTTTGTCTTAATTTAACATTTGAAACAACAAGGATGAAATGATTTTTAAGCGTTGTGAGCGTGAATCGGATCGCGGCCAGTGTTGGTATCGTTGCCGGCTGCGTTCGCTTTGTCACTCACAGCGCTTGTGAGCATCAAGTATCCTTGTTTAATATTTGCTAAACAACAATGATGAAACAACGCTTAAAACGTTGTGAACTTCAAAGCGAACATAATATCGTTGCGGAGATATTTTATATGGTAAAAATACTGCGCAACGCGTCACATAATGATATCGACAGTGTCGTTAGAGAATAGCATTGCTGATTGCTCACCCATTGTTAAAGGGTGACAAGGATAAGATGATACAGGGGCACCCGGGTGAAGTTTCCGAACGCAGCTATAGTGGGTGAATGAACATCCGTGAATCCGAAGGATAAAAAGTATCGGCACGCACTACCGAGGAAAAAAAGGCAAAGCAGTAGAAAAAAAACGAAAAGAAACATCGTTAGAGTTGAGGTGCGTTCCGTTAAATTACTGCGAGTACTCATAAGGATGCATTCCGTATTAACGTCCGAACGACAACTTTTCTTCGGAACTTCGATGAAAAATGTCTCGCATGCGCAGAACGATATGGTATAATAAAGCGCGACGATCAAATATATGTAGAGTTGCGTTGCAGGTTATGTTTATGTTCTGTCAGTTTTGTGTTTAAATATAAACAAAGAATATACTATGTTAGAAGTTTTATATCTGAGTTTAGTATTACTTACTTCTATGTCATGTATATGCAGAAACGTTCATCGAATCGTTCCATTTCACGAGACAATCTCTGTGTGTGACGTCACACTTCGTCCAAACCCTGACATATAGAAAATACACTTTGGAAAATCTATAGTTACATGTATAACATATATACAGATTTTAAATATTTACAGAATAACGGAACGCAATCATGGAGAGTAATCCGCCACCGTTGCACTTTCGGCGCATCTGTCGATTCTGCTTATCGGATTCGGAACCTCTGAACTCCATCTACGAGCGCAACCACAAGTCAGTCCAGCTACCGCTTCAGTTGCAGATTATGTCCTGCGTTGCTATCGAGGTGAGACTTGAGAGGTGAGTGGCTCTGCCGCTAACAATACCAAAGACAGACTGATATTCATAGTCAATTTTTATAAGATTCTTATAATTATTCTTGTAAGAATATATCAAATATATTTGAGATTGTTTTAGGTACAGTCTTAAGATGTCATAAGTCAATCAGAGGCCAGTATTTATAATTGGATCTTATATTTACGATTGTCTTAAGTTGTTCATGTAGCATACATGTTCAAAAGAGGATATAAAGCATCTTGATGTTTTAAGTTTTCAGACATCTTTATAACATGATGTCTGAAATACATCTTGATGATGTCTTTAGACTGTCTTATATCTGTATACTATTCTCTAAGTTACAGATATATGTCTCAGTATTATTGCGTTTTTTATTAGGCAGAACTAGTGCGCATTTAGTGTACATTAAAGCTGTATAATATTCTAATCTAAATGTAAGAGATATCTCAATTCATAAAATATGCTCAATGTGTATTTTATCAAATAGCACAATAAAATGTAGTGAATATTTCGCGATTTAATTTGTTTCTATATTTTTATTAAACAATCATCTTTAATATGATTTTTCTTGCTTGGATATGTAAATACAAATGAAAAGAAAGATAGGTCAAACATGAACTTACATACATCTTTATGTTGATTTATGTACAATGATTTTAAAGTGCACTGAGTACACACTAATGCTACTAATGAAAAATATTGATATCTTGAGACATTATTTAAAATTAGAACCGACTATGAATATTAATCGAAAGGATTGTATTAGCATCTTATGACATTACTTAAGACAATCTTAAAATAAGAATGAACTATGAATACCATCTACAGAGCATGGATTGTGCAATTTGTATTTACACTTGATTTATAAAAATGTGAGAGATAGAATGCAAAGACGGCTAGTTTCTATCATTTTCTATTCAATGGTATAATATTAGAAAGAAAGAAAGATTGTCTGTCTTCATGCTCTTTTTCATTTTTGTTGATCACATTAGATATACTATTTAGATAGGGATGGCGTAATCCGTGCTCTATGTCTTTGAATGATACTCTTACCAAGCAGTCAATGGCTGCGTTCAGCAGAGAAAACTAATCAGTTAGTGCTTAGTGATTCTTTAATATGATTGGTTCTTGTCTTTAGTTCTTTGTTGGATTTAAGTGTAAGAACCAATCATATTAAAGAATCACTAAGCGCTAACTGATTAGTTTTTTCTCTGCTGAACGCAGCCAATGATACTAACCAGAGGTGCCTCACTGAATTCTCCTCACAGGTAAGAATCATAGCACAAACTTTTTGCACAATGCTGCATAACGCATAAGACATAAGAGAAACAATCAATCCTTCATTTCATATTCTAGTTGATTCTTATGCTTCAAGTCTTATGCAAAGTCTATACAAAGCAGCCTTAATGAGCTTACTACAATAAGTTATTATCTAAGTTTTAAGTCTTAAGTCATAAGAAATTGATCAATCACAGTCGAATGTACGAAAAATAATCGATTATGATGGGTCAATTTCTTATAACTTAAGCTTTAAAGTTTAGATAATGACTTATTGTAAAAAGCCTCTAACGATCATTAGTATAAGCAGTGATATTGTTGGTCGATCATGACGTCGCGATTCCGCCGAGAAAGGATGTTTAATTTGCATCACCTGATTTCTTTCTCTTCGGAGTTTTTCATCTGGAGCTAGAACTTTTGAGCATGATGGTTTATTTTAGATAAACGGTTTAAATAAGAGAAAGTTTATTTTATTCTTTCTTATTAATCATTGGAGATGTCTAAGTAGAACGAAATTTCCTGTAATATTATTAAAATGAATGATAAAATTGAATTTTGAAAAATTAAATAAATCTAAAAAAACAGCTATCTGAAATAAAGGACTGTCTTTTACAATAAAGGACGTATGATCACTGTAATTATAAATTTTTTTAAGTATTTTCATATACAATATTTTTCAAGAGTGAACGTCCAACACTCAGAAGAGACTTTTCCAGATTGTCAGTAGGCTTGTTCCTAATGAACCATTTTGTTTCTTAATAGGTCTATACCGAAGATGAGATGCCGCAAGTGATCTGTAACACGTGCCGCTGGAATTTGGATCACTTTTATAAATTCAAGTTGCAATGCAAGAAGGCCGACGAGGCATTAAGAGATTGCCTTCTGTCTGGAAAATTGCCGAAACCCTTCCCGCCCATCCGTATCAATCCATTGACGGAGAACGACAAGAAGAGACCAGCCGAATCTAGATCGCAGAACGAAATTTTGAAAAAGCAACGCATCTCTAATGATGATAGCAGAAATATAAGAGAGAGACGAGAGACCAGAAGAAGGGAGAAAGGGAGGGAAAGAGAATCACAAAATGAAAATCAGAATATCAGCGAACAGCATCTTTACGAGAAAACAGAGAACGAGCAGAACAGAGACAGTGAGAGTAATCAGGAAGCGAGTAACATTAAAGAAAACGGAGAACACGAGCTAGCAGAGGTCAAAGTACACGCATGCGATCAATGTGAACGTACGTTCGCATTACGTCAGGCTCTGCTGCTGCATGTTCAACGCATTCATGTTCGCGCTCGCAATTACAAATGCAACGAGTGCGAGAAAAACTTTTTCAACAAACACGATCTGGTCAAGCACTTGAGTATACATTTGCAGGAGAAGCCGTATTCGTGCTCGATCTGCCAGAAGCAATTCTCGCGGCTGACTTCGCTGCAACGTCACAAGAAAGTACACAAAGATGAGCCGCACTACATCTGTTCCCATTGCGACGATGAATTTTTCACTACAGAGGAACTTGAAGAGCACAAGAATTCGGCACACAAAAAAGAGAAGCCGTTCCAGTGTAACATTTGCAAGAAGCGTTTCCTATACAAACAGGGTCTGCAACGGCACGAGACGCTACATAATAATAAGGATGAAAAATTCGTATGTGATTACTGTAAAGAGACTTTCCGTACTTGTACAAAGCTAGCCCGGCATCTGATTACCCATGCTGGTCCTCGACCATATATGTGTAAATTGTGTCCTCGCACATTTCTGTTATCACATCATTTGACTAGACACATGCGTATGTCCCATTCAAAGGAGAAGCGCCGTGTATACAAGAACGGCAAGAAGAGCTTAAAGGTAAATCAGTTGACGCACGCGAAACGTACATACATGGGCCTCACCTGCGATATCTGTCAAGAATCTTGTCGTAATCGCGCCGACTATGTCATTCACATCAAGCAACACATCGAAGCGGGTGAGAAAATAGACCCAGACAGTTTACAGCCCAATACTAAAAAAAATCTTAAACTAAAGTCTAATGAGAGGAAAGAAAAAGAAAAAGATCAGCATTCTAATAGAAACGATGATGACGAATCGCCAGGGTACGTTGTGAAGAAGTTACCAAAGCCGTCGATGCTCTCGGAGAACGAGAAGAAAAAAGAGCAGACTAGAGAAGACAAGAAAGAGAATTCCGAGAAACAAGAAAAGGAAGAACCCAATGTGATGTATGTACGTAGCAGAAATGGTAGCATGGTCAAAATCACGACATTCCCACCCATCGATATACACGATATTCAAGAGCAGAAAGCAATATTCAAGAGTACGAAGCAAACTAGTTCAATCGATTCTCCTTCTCAGAGCAGCTCGAAAGGCCTCACGTCATCGCAAACCGAAGAGACTCCCAAAAGCGGCTATGTGGATGACACTGAGTTACAAGTGCAAAAGATCGTCACCTCAGTATCCAAAAAACAGAAAACTTTGTTGAAGGACCAACAGAACGGCCAAGATCAGTCTAAGGAATCTCTAACACCTGTGATGAGAGTCCACAGCTCTTCTCAAGAAAATAGTAAGGACAACGATAAATCAGAGACCTTAACATCCACTCCGAACACTATCACAGTTAAAAGGATTAAAAGAATTGTGGTGAGGAAACCGACAGGAGGAAGTAACAAAGAAACATCAGCTAGTACATCTAGTATCAAGGATGGAGATTCTTCTCTGAGCGGTACTCTCGGTTCGCGTAAGATCAAGCGAGTGATTGTCAGTAGAATTATCCGAAAGAATGATGTTGTCCATGAAGTTATCATGAATCCAGATGGAACCACGATAGATTCCACAGAACTGGCAAAACTATCGACTGGCAATGTAGTGAAGCGAGTAGTAAGGCAGCTACCGCTCGACAAAAATCAGAATATGGTACAAGCGCTATTGCAATCCACGAAACAACGTCAGAAAACAGAAGATACGAATGAAAAGTTCGAGGTAACGACTTCAGCGTCAACCAGCAACGATACACCAGAAAGTTCGGATGCTTTGGAAAAGAAGCAATTGATCACTCTGGGTCAGAATCAGGAAATAATTTATGTAGAAGCTGAAGCAATTGGAGATGTAGCGGAAATAGTAGATATTGAAAATTAAGAAGCAGAAGAAATATAGCAGGATGGCGATTGACGAAATATTATCAGAGCTACATGACGAGTCTGAAGATGAACAGCAGCTATCATTCAAGTGAGTATTTGTGAAACGGAAAAAACATATACGAGTAGGAGCGGGAGTACAACGATGACACAGAAGCGACAAAGAGAAATTTGACTCAAGTAAGAAAAAAAGAGAGACGGAATAAGTTGCCGTGAAAAAAAGAGGAAGAGATATTGGAAAAAAATCCAAAGTACGACGATAAGCAGCAGTAATATCACATCAAGTGATATATCTCCGAAAAAGAAATCTCCGATAATCTCGAGCAACAAATTATTTAAACAAGTGTTACGTGATTATTATTATTATAAGCCTAGCGATATATCAAAATTGAAGGAGGTGAATCCAAAATTGTATAAAATTTTCGATACTATCGACAACGTAGTGAAGATACAAGCCTAGTTTACACCGAAGTAGTACTTGGTAGTACTACGCGTACTAAATCACTTGATATTCTCAATATAAACGCTGGAGAATTCTTCAGTGCGCTGTGGTCTGGTACTTCCGAATCATGAGATCAAGTTGGTACGCGTATCAAATGGTATCAAAAAATCTTAATGCTGCACTGTAAATACTTACCTCGTATTTAAACTCGCCATTTTAAATAAGAACCAAATATATAGTTCGTTCAATTTGAGATGCATATTAACCGAGTTAACGGTATAAAAGAGATCACAGAAGTCGGTTCTGAACAATCTCACGCAAATTCCGGTATCGCAGCGTCATCATACACGAAATGAAAGACTGATTCGGCGGTGGAGATCGATATCGCCTAGGAAATCAATTAGATCCAGAGATGGAGAAGCCTTCGCAGGTCATCGTCGTACAAGAGGAAAGTCAATCTGACTCCAACACTATCACTTAGACAATCAGGATCTCTCCGAGATCACTTCGATCTTTGAAGCATCAGACGATGCATTGGAGATGAAGAAATTGACAGCAATCTGAACGAATTCGTCATATAATTGCTAAGTATCGATGGCCT